TAATTTTTCAAACGTATATAATCTGCATAACTGATCTGTATCAAAGGCGTATTTCTTTGATCTCAATACATGGAAATAAATTATGGAGATTTGCACTTTATGACATTACAATACATTAAGGTAGACACAATATGCCGCTGCTTATTTGTACTGCACGTGCTACAAATGTCTGGATGAATTGATATACGTCTTCGTCTTTGGTTTCATTGTATCTGTTCTTTACGTATTGAACCTTTTATATCACATTGAGCCGTATTTTTTTTTTAAATGTCAACTTGGGCGGTTCGGTCTTGAACAATTAACACAGATTTAACCATTCGATCGTTGTCGTCAACATAGCCATTATAGTGGTTGTCAGCCTTTCTTCAAAACAATGATAAGGACAGAAACTTTGCCTTTCAACAGACAACACACGGACACCTCAAAGAGTTGTTGCAAGGGTTTTTTAATATGCAGAGAGTGGGACACACCCTTAACGAGGCATCGGATCTAACGCCCATTTATGACCAGACGCGGCTGCGTATTTATACATCCTGCTATAGATAAACGGAACCACTCTTTAGCTTGATTTTTCGTTACATCCTAAAAGTACTAGTGGGGATTACCGGTGCCTTCAATCTTTCCTCTTCTGACTTGTTGTACCCTTTATCTCTGACATTGAAATTAAATAGCTGTAAGATTTTCACGATATCAAGAAGTTTATTTTTAATGAAGTTTCGGTGATAGGCTGGATCTTTACAATTACCTACAAGTTTTACATGATTTCTCAAAATTATTGTGATCCTGCTCTCACATTTAATTTCTGACTGGACAAACTCAGACAAGAACAAAAGCAATACTGTATAGTCCACATTCAAGGGTCTTAAGTATCCCAATTTGTATTAAAAAAAATAGGCATACTTCTACGTCATTTGTCTCTGGTAGAGTTGTCTCATTAGCAATCATACCATATCTTCTTAGTTTTAAGTTTTATATAACAAATTTGTTATTTGAAAATAAGAAGATGTGGTATGATTGCCAATGAGACAACTCTCCACTAGAGACCAAATGACACAGAAATTGACAACTATAGGTCACCGTACGGCCTTCATCAATGAGTAAAACTAATACCGCATATAGAGTTAGCTATAAAAGGCCCCGAAATGACAAATGTAAAACAATTCAAATGGGAAAATCAACGGCCTCATTTATGTACAAAATAATGAACGAAAAACAAAAATGATAAACAGCAACAAACGACAACCACCGAATTACAGGCTCCTGACTTGGGACAGGCACATACAGAATGTTGCGGGGTTAAACATGTTAGCGGGCGCCCAACCCTCCCCAAACCTGGGACAGTTGTGTAACAGTACAACATATGAACAAACTATAAAAATCAGTTGAAAAGGGCTTAACTTCAGATCGATACAAAGCACAAAAAACAAGTAAATGTATGGTCATATACAATGTCATCTGGTAAATTGGTATTTTTAATTTGTAGTATGTACTACATATATAAACAAAATACAAATACTTAATACTTAAGCCTGATTTTTATGACTTGTATAGTAGACCTTAAAACTCCTTGTCAATATTAAGTTTTTTGAGCTTACTATAATCATGTTTACCACTACATATGATTCATCTGCTAAGGTTTACATTAGAAAAGTGAAAATAATAAATTTACATGCATACACACACATATAAGGGTTTTCTGGTCGATAATTCAAATTCAATATCATAAATATATAGACAAAATTACGATTTTATGCAACTATCCTTGTCACACTTTCGTTTGGTAGAAAGATTATACTTGTGAATGAAAAGTAAAAGCAGATTTGAACATTCAGTTTAAAAAAATATTGTTTTCTGTTCTCTGAGCTACTTTGAACGGGCATGTTCAAATCCTCTCACCAAACGGACAATTCTATAACCTGACATTTGTCTATTATCCCATACGAGGCAATTCTATCCACCAAAAGGGGGCTACCAGTTTTGTGTATTTCTTTCATTACACACTCTCAATAATGTCATTGACTTTGCTGTTTGATTGATGGATGGTTAATAACGTCAAATGGCAAATTTAAATGCATATTCAGGACAAGAACATGACAATTTGACATGAGTATAAAATTTACTTTGTACTAGACTGACACGCTGGTTCGGATTTTCAACGTGCTAGTTCACAAAGTAACCAATCCACAGGAAGACATGTCACCCTAATCGAACACATTATTCTGACTCCGAGCCGACCAGTCTTTGTTCTTACTTCTAAATGTCGCATGCTTAGCGGAGAAGCAGCAAATACAAATTTTCAAGTCTTTGATTTGACCCGGCCGATGTTTTAACCCCGACTTCCAGCACTCCAGGCGAACACGCAACAATGAGACCACCGAGGCGGTTTGGCTGTTTGAATGGTTGTTGGGCCAGTCAAAGAATATTAAAAATAGATCAATCAGGACCCCAGAAGGTGCGATAAATATTTTACCATATATCAGAAATTTGTAAACGAACCATGTGGTAAACATAAATAAATAAAAAAGAATGTGTTCATGGAACACAGATGATCCCGATTGTAAATATACGACAAATTCAGCAATTTTTTTTGATTTATAAAGGGATATAACTCGAGAACAGTGAAAGTGATTTGACCCAAATTCAAATTATGATCTGTGTTTGGTGGTAATAAGAATTGTGTATAAGTTTCATAACATTTGGTTCATGCAAAGTAAAATTAGATCGCGGCGGGAGCATAGATAGCAGCCACCAACACAATTAAACCAAGTATCCATAAATCAAAGTGATTCTATTTTTTTTATGAATATGCTTTCTCACTACAATTACTAATTAGGATTGCTGAAATTCCGTAGAACAAACAGCAACACAACATGTAAATGATATGAAGTACAAAATTACATATATCTCCGTACATTTTGGGGAAATAGAACTCCCTCAGCTCCGTTGAGGTGCTTTGTAATGTGCAGAAAAGGTGTGGTAATAACATATGTAATGGTGAACAATTATTCATTCCAGATAAGGTGAACATTATATGAGATAACTATGCATGCTCAAATCTAGTGAAAAATACTTTAAAATACATGTTAATTTCCTTTTATTTAAAGCTACGTTGAATATCACAATATACATTTAAGCAGATAATATTCTGTAATGTGATTGATTTTTTTCTATATTGCGCATTTATTAGAATTAATCGTTTTAAAGAACCAGAAATGGTAATTCATGTATACTTTGAATATGCATGACCTCTAACACATATATACATGAGTTCATGTCATGTAATAAAGGTATATTAATATTTTTTTTCGGAGTGAAGAGGTACTCGTAATCTCGTTAAAGAAATAAATCATTTGATTAATTCAATAAATAGCAATAGAAATTGGTTTTGCAGGTATATGATGCAAATCACTACAGAAACAATTTAAAAGAAAAATACAAACAAGAATAAGTATCCATGAGCGCGCGCGCACTATCTCATATCTAGGTTAAGTGAACCTTGCAATCGGGGTCAAAATCTTATTTGGTCAAATTATTTTAAAAGTTTACCTTACAAAAAAAACGGGTGTAATAAGTTTCAATTTGATGTTACCATAACTGCACGGTAAGCTACTAAAACCTTTACCCTGAGATTGTACTTATTTCTTATTATCTCATCATACAGTTTATTATCACATCATACAGCTTCAAACAGTTTCAAACATTCACATCATAATGCACATCTGTATTTAAGACCGGAAAACAAGCTGATGCTCCTCTATCTAGAGTCAAAGGGACTGAAAAATCAGAATCAAAAGAATGATTTCCAAGGGAGAAAAAAACTCAAAGGCCAAAAAATATGGTTAAACAAGTGTAGACAATTATTAAAAAGGACCTTCACTCAAAATTGAGACTCATCCCAGGTGCCATGGAAGGGTTTGCACGTTGTTCTTCGCATCAGAAGCCCGTCGAATTGCCCTTTTTTCATATCTTTTTCATAATGAACAAAACCAGTGTTGATTCTTCAATTGTTTACCTATGTGTTTTACTATTTAAACTCAAATTAGAATGCAATAATAGATCAAATATGCATGTACGCTTATGGACAGGTTAGGTCTTCAGTTGACTAAATATATAATATGCTAACATTAAAGTGTCAATCCTTTGCGGGTAAATTCTTGAAAGGCTCGTTTTTTTGTTGTTTTTTTTTAAAGTTTATCAAATATATGAACAAAATGGTGGTGTGGGGCGAACAACACGAGTCAGTTGACTAAAAGATGTTTTAATATAACGAGCCCTTCATCACACAGAGTTTCACAACAAATTCAGTGTTTAGCAAGATCGACCCATATTAAAGATAGAGTTTAATATCATCGATAACGTTTTTTGTAGAAATTGACACGTGTCTTTGATGAAATCAAAGCTTTCCGCACTCAAATATTCATTTCTTGAATTCATTTGTCAAGTTCGTTAATTTGCAATAGTAACTAAAACTGAGGAAAAAGCTCTCTATTTAGATTGCTTTACTCTTCGTTTCGGTTTGTTTTTTGATGGCCATTTTTAATATACATGTTGGATTTTTTTTTCAAGTGTAACTACTGAAGCTAGCTTTCCAAGAAGAGCTTCTATGCATCTTCCAATCTTATAAAACAAACTATATCCTTTCCATTCGAGTTATTACATGGCTACGTTGTATTCCACTGATTTAACAAGCTATACCACTAACTTCAAATTGAATTTGACCCCCCCCCCCCTTTTGCAGTATTTTTTCTTAAACTTGATGTTTTGCAATTAATGTCATTTAAATATTTTGATTTAACATTCAATAGTATCGATTGAAACTAAGACATAAACCTGTTCTAGATTTTTATCATGCACTTATTGTTAATTGATTATAAAAAAAAATTAAATCTCTTTAACTTCCCAGCACGTCACCACATCAATTATTACTTATTGTCAAATGTCCATAAAATAGTAACATTTTAATCACTGGTGTTTAAACAATAAAAATAAACAAAACTTACTGCCAAATATGAGATTATGCTACTATGACATCCTGAATATGTCTTTAAGAATCCTCCAAGGATACAAGTTGTGATATATAAAAATTTAATATACAAAAATATATCATTTGTTTGGTATATTGATAAATTCATCAACAAAATTGTATATTAGGGTGACAGATGTCTTTCCGTCAGTGGACTAATAGTTTTCGCTAGATTAGGCATTGTAATTGGTCTAGGATATGTAAAAATGAACAGCACATTCAACAAATGACGAAAGAAGATTATGAAAATGATATGTATTGATTTTATTTTAAAATATGTTAATATGGGCGGAAAAGTCCATTACAGAAAAAAGACAGTTCAGTACACAATATCGTACGGGTTTTCATGAAGCCATTAATAATTTTCTAAGATTTCCAGAAAAATAATTTGTAAAGGAAAATTAATGCAATTTTAATTGTAACTTTTAACATGTTGAATTACAGGAGATAGCTGATAGAACTGTCACAGAAGAAAAAAAACTATTACCATAATTGCCATCTGTTTTATGTGGAAAAGGAGGAAAGCATTAAGGGGCAAATTAATATAAAAAAAACTTTAAAATTGTATATCTTCATTTTGTATTACTTCAGAAGATTGTAATTGTAATAATTTTCAATGGTGTTTTTTTTTTTTTTGGGGGGGGGGGGGGAGGGGTACGTGTTTAAGGGGAGTATTACTTTGTATTATCATTTCTGTGATTTTGTAAAATCATCAAATTAAACATAGGTTACAATGATTACTTAAAATTATAAAGTCACCATACATGTTCTTTAATGTGTCCGAACTATCTAAGGTACAAGGTATGTAAATAATATCTAAGGTACAAGGTGTGTAAATAATATCTAAGGTACAAGGTATCTAAATAATATCTAAGGTACAAGATGTGTAAATAATATCTAAGGTACAAGGTGTGTAAATAATATCTAAGGTACAAGGTGTGTAAATAATATCTAAGGTACAAGGTATGTAAATAATATCTAAGGTACAAGGTGTGTAAATAATATCTAAGGTACAAGGTGTGTAAATAATATCTAAGGTACAAGGTGTGTAAATAATATCTAAGGTACAAGGTGTGTAAATAATAAAAAAAAACAATACTTTCACACTCCGAACTATACTAAGGTTCAAGGTATGTAAATGATAAAAAAAAACAATACTTTCACACTCCGAACTATCTAAGGTACAAGGTATGTAAATAATAAAAAAACAATACTTTCATACTCCGAACTATCTAAGGTACAAGGTGTGTAAATAATCAAAAAAACAATACTTTCACATCAAATGATAGACTAGTATTACTAGGTGCTTAACAACCTTGACTACACACGAGGGTCTCGCACGGTCGATGAGATTAGAGAATGGAAACGGGGGCTATTTCAAAGAGACAACAAACCGACCAAAGAGCAGAAAACAGCCCAAGGCCACCAATGAGTAATCAACGAAGCGAGAAAATCCCGCACCCGAAGTCTTGGCAACAGTATCGTAACTATATCATCCAAATACCTAAAATTGTTTGTATCAGATGTTGATTCGATGGGTCTTTGCTGATTTAAGACCATGGCTACAAACCATGACGAAATTTGTATATTTCGTAAAATCTCTGGATTTTCCTTGTTTTACATCAACTTTTTAGTATATTTTTAATTGTAAAATGCTTCTCTTAAAAAAATGTTTATGTTTCTTGGCTGCGCACGATGGTTTCTAATAGGAAATATGGATTGAGAACTACATAAGAAGGCGAATATTATAACGTTATTGAGACTTAATAACACAAAAATCTGGTGTAAATTAAAATTTATATTTCTGGATTGAATGCATTTCCAAACATTATGTGCAGATTTGAAATAGTTCTCAAAACATTTATTACGTTGGGTCAAAAGAGGGCCTTAATGCCCCTTCTTCAACGTTTGAAATGTTTATAAAATTTTAACTTCCCTTTGCTTTATTTTTGTTAAAGTTGCTAAAGTTGGTTTATTTGTCAATGAAATAGCCAAATTGGTATTATTTAAACCCTCTGATCAATGTGCCTGCTTTTGAAACATAATATTACAATGTCGGCATTATTGTTCCATTTTTCCAAATTTTTATGAGTAGTCGTTTTAAGTATCGGTATGCTGAAATGAATAAAGATCTTTCAATTGCCTACCTTTATTGAGTGTTCTTCCACTGTTCTGATATTGTTATTCTTCTGATAGTGTTAAATGAGTTGACATTTATTGTGCATTTTGATATGTATACATATAAGGTTTTTGCTACCTTGTTTACTCTGGATTGCAAAACTCTAAATGTTGTTTTACAGAATGATGTTTGGGCTTCGGTGGGCGAGTGTTCTGTGTAGGTCATTATCAAACTTTTTCAAAATAAAGCGGTGGAAGATGCCAATGGTACATTAAAAACTCATAAGTCGAAAAGAAACTGACAATGCCATGGTAACAACGAAAACGACAAAAAGACACAAAACACAACATAGAAAACTAAAGACTGAGCAACACGAACCCTACCAAAAACCGGGGTGATCTCAGGTTTTCATGTCCGGGAAAAGTTAGCAGATTCTTTTCCACATGATGAACCCGTCGAGTTACTCCAATAAAGTACGTTGATACGTAGTATTCAGTGATTATAGGCATCACGCAATTGTGGGTTGGTAATTGACGCTTATCTTACAGTTAGATATGTATATAGATATCACCAAATCGTAAACCATCGGTCGTGCAAATTGTCTAACCTATTAACTTGACCGAATGTGAAACTTGTTTTTCAGGACAAAGGAAAGACCAGACTGTTACCTGTAGAAATAACACAAACGTTGAAAAATTTAAAAAGGCATAAAAGTACAACACTGAAACATAAAGCAAGAGCAACATGAGCCCTTATAAACAAAAATAAAGTAAAGGGAAGTCAAATGATTTAAACAATTGTAGAAGGAAACAGACTTTGAACTCTCTAAACATGTTTAACCCCGCCGCCTTTTTGCGACTGTCCCAAGTCAGGAACCTCTGGCCTTTGTATGTCTTGTATGTCTTGTATGCTTTTTTTTTTTTTTTTTTTTGGTTCAATTCTATGTTTCGGAGTTTAGTATGACGTCCATTTTCTCTGAACTAGTATACATTTTTTGTTTAGGGGCCAGCTAAAGCCCGCTTACGGGTGCGAGATTTTCTCGCTGTGTTGAACACCCAATGGTAGCATTGAGTTATTTTCTGCTTTTTGGTCGGGTTGTTGTCTCTTTGACACATTCCTTGTTTCCATTCTCAATTTTATTAGATTGTATCCAAGTACTCTAACAGATCTTTGAAACTTTTTAGTATCCCCTCCTGCATCACATCGCCCCTATAGTCGGTAGTTTCACAATAACTCTAAAGCTCGGTTTTGATTGCTGATAAAATTGAAGTTAATAGTTTGGAAAGGTTTCGTTGAGCACTTGAAAGGAAGAAGGAGGAATATCCAGTTTTTCATCTTTGGTTGAAATTTTAAAGGAACATAGAATGGCCTGTGATTGTTCAGGTTTCCTTTTTGGTAAATGTTGAAATTGCTAACTCAGTATTTTCGAAATCATCGAAGTTTCTGGGGTAGGGGAATTGGGGCTTCATAAACCAAACTTCCGATCGATTCGTAAGCACGCAGAACGTTGATATGTCGATGCTTATCTTGTTTGCACATACACCTTTACCATTGCTTGTTGTTGATTTTATTCTTCACTAAGTGTATTGTAAAGAAGATTTTTGATAGTACAGTTGTTTAATATCTTCTACCATATATTTTCATTTTATTTAAGAGCTTGTCGTACAATGTAGCCGCTATTACAACCATTGTTGTTGAAGGGATGACAGTTTTGATTATGGAGGGGTAGAGTCATCTTTTCTTATATTCTTTTGTTTTAAATTTTGAAAAGCACATTAAATATATGGACAAAAGCTCCTTTGGATCTTTTCAGAATCATTCAGTCTATTTGTGCTTTTTAACCGGTTTTTAATTCTGAAAAGTGTTGCCAAAAAAACAGTACCCCAACCCTAGGCGAGTGTGTGTGAGCTGTTGATTCCCTGGCATGCCACCAATGGCCAAAGGTTTTGGAAACAAAAAATGAACATCTGTAAGGCCTCAACATCAAAATTTTAGAGGGCCATTGATTTATGGAGGACAAAATCTCCATTACAGTAGGAGAATCTGATTTTGAAATGTTGGAAATTCTAAAACGTTCAAACTTTTTATCTGTAAGTATTTCTTTGGTGCGTGTGTTCCGGTCTGTGAGGCGGAGGACAGGGTAAAGTGGAAAAGGGAGAAAGGGGTTGGAGAAAAGAGATCAAAGAAGACAATGAGGGAACTAAATACTTTTTTTTTCAAATCACGATCTTAAATGACAAAAAAGTAATGAACATGATCAAACGTTATCATTTAATTGAAAGAAACAGTTGTCTTTTTATGCAAGAAAACTAATTCTGAGGAAATGTTTTATTTCCTAAACAAACAAAAATACACTAAAGACACAAAGTATCGACCCAAGCTTCTCTCAGGTAGTGAAAGCTAGTTCCAAGCCAATAACAAGTAATAACAAAATCATATATCAAAGAAAAAATATCAATAATCACACATCGAATGTATTTAGTGTATAGACTTCATAAACAACATATATAAACATGACCTAGTGCGATGTCAAACTATAAATATCGACAGGATGCAATGTAGAACCGTAATTGAGCAACACATATTTCGTTAGTTTTTTTTTTTTTTATGATAACAAAATCAATGATAGTACCGATAAAATCAATATTAAAGATCTTATTACAGTGTTTAAGAGAGGCGAAAGATACCAAAGGGACATTCAAAATCATAAGTTGAAAATAAACTGACAACGCCATGGCTAAAAAAGAAAACGACCAACAGACTAACAACAGTACACAAAACACAACATAGAAGACTAAAGACTGAGCAACACGATCCCCACCAAAAACCGGGGCTGAACTCAGGTGCTCCGGAAGGGTAAGCAGATCCTGCATGTGGCACCCGTCGTGTTGCTCATGTAAGTACAAACCCGGCGATAAGTCTTATTCGGTAGGTCACATTCGGGTAAAAGGGGACGGGATTATAGTTACGACAATTGGAACATATCCGTCGTCATC